TCACTATGCACAGTTGATATCAACCATTAACAATTATTAATGAGATGAAATCAAACCCAAGAATATGCATGATATGGATCTCTGTCCACAGTCATCATCAGTTCGACATATTCATCAATCAGTGATTAAAATATATAGAGGGTAAAAGTGTAGAGGAAAAAATACACAGAAAAAAATTGATGATGGATGTTGGAAGGAATACTGGGTAGATTGGATGAAATACCAGTGCAGGAAAGTACCAGCTCCCCCGTCCATCTCCAGAATTGTATTTTCTCTTAAAAACAAAACAAAACAAATCTAGTTAATTAGTCCACCAAGATGGCATTTTAAAAAATGTTTCTGAGTGATGCACAAAGATGGCATCTTAATGCCTTAATTTGCATTTTTATTACTTGTAAGAGAGCATTTGATCAAAGTTTTATTGATCATCTGTAATCATGTTTTACATGTGATTTACCTTTTCATAGAATTTGTTCATTTTGCTATTGAGGTATGTCTTTATTAATCTGTAACACTCTCTATATGTTAACTTCTTGCCCATTATTCTAGATATTTTACCCAGTTTGCCATTTGCCTTCTAATCTTGCTTCTGGTAGTTTTTGGTGTAAGAAGTGCATGCTTTTCAAAATGGTTAAATCTCTCATTCTGTTAATGTTTCTGTGTTAACAAATAGGCTTAGAAATCTCTTACCCCCTTTAATATTAGGTAAATATTCACTAACATTTCCTAATCCTTTTAGGTTTCAATTTAAGTCTGTAATCCATCTGGATTTTATTTTGGTATATGGTATAAGCTCTAGTGATCAAAATTATTTGATTCTAAATGGTTAGCCAATTTTCTCAGCACTGGTTATGAATAATTTATCATTTCCCCAATGATCTGAAACAGTATCAAAACAACAAAAACAACAATAATTAACAATTGCTAACATTTGCTTATTGCTTATTCTGTGCCAGGCACTGTTTCAACCTGTACTAACTCACTGATTTCTCGCACTACCTAGAGGTGGGTAGTATTGCTATCATTCCCATATTATTACAGCATCCCTCAGTGTGGGGACTGAGGCACAGAATGGATGAATAACTTGCACAAAGTCACACAGGCAGTGGTGGTGTTCAGATAAAGACTTGGACATCTGACTCCAGTATTCAGTCTTTGAAAGCATTTGATATACTTGGATTTGGTTCTAGGCTATTTTGTTCCAATGTATTCATTCCTATTCTAATACTGCACTGTTTCACTATCTTGCAATTCAAGTCACTCTCCTAACATTTTTTTCTTTACTAATTCTTCATTTAATCACTGTTTCTCCTTCCATTTTATAATCTAGCTTCTTGGCTAGGCATGGTGGCTCATGCCTATAATTCTAGCACTTTGGGAGGCCAAGGCGGGCAGATCACCTGAGGTCAAGAGTTCGAGACCAGCCTGGCCAACATGATGAAGCCGTGTTTCTAATAAAATATAAAACTAGCCAGGCATGGTGGAGTACGCCTTGTAGTCCCAGCTACTAGGGAGACTGGGGCAGGAGAATCACTTGAATCTGGGAGGTGGAGGTTGCAGTGAGCCAAGATCACGCCACTGCTCTCCAGTCTGGGTGACAGAGCAAGACTCTGTCTCAAAAAAATAATAATAAATAAAAATCAAATAAAACAAAATAAGTAATCTAGCTTCTTAAAGTGTCAAGGCCATTTTTCTTCTAAAGACTAAAAGCAACCAAATAGTATAAGCCATGTTTTCCAGAAAGGCTCTTGGCAGCACTTTTTGATAATTAGTAACCGCCCAATGAGTTTTTCTTGCCTGCTGCCTAGACAGAGCTGATTTATCAAGACAGAGGAATTGCAATAAAGAGTTTAATTCCCACACAGCTGGCTGTATGGGAGACTGGAGTTTTATTATTCCTCAAGTCAGTCTCCCTGAAAATTCGGGGATGGGGTTTTTAAGGGTAACTTAGTGGGTAGGGGGTAGGGAGTAAGGGGTCAGTGAGTCAGAAGTGCTGACTGGTTGGGTTGAAGATGAAATCATAGAGAGTCAAAGCTGTCCTCTTGCACTGAGTCAGTTTCTGGGTGGCAGCCATAAGATCAGATGAGCCAGTTTATGGATCTGGGTGATGCCAGCTGATCCCTGGAGTCCGGGGTCTGGAAAATATCTCAAGCATTGATCTTAGGTTTTATAATAGTGATGTTAGCCCTAGGAGCAATTTGAGAGGTTCAGAATCTTGCAACTTCCAGCTGTAGGACTCCTAAACCATAATTTCTAATATCATGGCTAATTTGTTAGTCTTGCAAAGGCAGTCTAGTCCCCAGATAGGATGGGGATTTGTTTGGGGAAAGGGCTGTTATTGTCTTTGTTTCAAAGTTAAACTATAAACTGAGTTCCTCCCAAAGTTAGTTCAGCCTATGCCCAGGAATGAATAAGGACAACTCGGAGGTTAGAAGCAAGATGGAGTCAGTTAGGTCAGATCTCTTTCACTGTTATAATTTTCTCAGTTATAATTTTTGCAAAGGTGGTTTCAAGTTCTTCAGGGCTGTTTAACACAAGGCGTATTCTCTGGCTGGTCTTACTAGTGCCGGGTACTGTACACAGTTTCCAATAGAAATGCACTCCTCTTAACCTGGCTATAAAGGCCTAAGTCGTACTTAACCACTCCCACCTTGGTTTCTTAAGGGAATAATAATAGTACCCAATGTAAAGGCTGGTTAGAAGACTAAATGAGTTAATACGTGTGAGGTGCTTAGAACACTGTCTGGCACATAGTAAGTGCTAAATAAGTGTTTGCAAATTAAAATGAAATTTTTGCTCTAATCTAGAACATGATTCTCTAAGTCAGTCACTTGGTCTAAATGTGCAACTCAACTGTGAGTGTTTTTTAGTTTATAATTGGAGATCTCCCTGGAGTTGGCATGTGATGATCCCCAAATAGAAAGTATGTCTTTCAAAGTACTTTTACATCAATTTTTTTATTTTATCCTCTCAGTAAACCTGCTGAGCAGAGCAGGGAGGTATGATCCTTGTTGAGGTGTAGAGAAAATGACACGTGACTCAACAAAGGATATTCCTTTGCTATATCTGACCATCAGGGCTATCACTTTTGGAACCCAAATTCAAATAATATCATAATGACTTGCCCCTCCATGCAAAAGAAAACGGCCCATAAAAATCTATCACGTGTAATTGACTTGCGAAAGGACCAACAAAAAATGTAACATGTTGCGTAGTATTCGTATGCTCAACAAGATCAGCTTTTTCTTCCTTGTAACTTTAACATGGTCTGGCTTCACACTTCCTTTTCAGAAATACCCCGTAACTGTAATTTCCTGAGGCTGCATATCCACAGGGCCAACTCAGGGGACACACAGGCACGCTGGGCATTCTTGGGATTCTTTGTTAAATGGGGGCAAGCGGGGTTAAAATGGATTGAGCACAGTGGGGTGTGTGCCTCCTGGGAGGCGGTGATGCCCTGCACTCTGGGCTAAGCATGTGGTTTTGTCCCACAGATTCGTCACTCACACTGCTGCAGATGGCGGGTGTTGGACTGGGCTCCATGGCTGTTGTGATCATTCTTACATTCCTCTCCTTCTCAGCGGTGTGGTATGTGAGGCTGTCATTTTTGAAAAATGAGTGGAATGGAGGGGAGGATGGGTCAGAGTCATGAAGAACAGCTGGAGATGAGGAGAGTCAAAGGGAGTGTGGGTGGAGGTTGTCCTTGGCTCAGCAGAGCACACTCAGTGGTGAAAAGCATGACTAACCCTGTACCTCCAGGTAGCATGGGGGATGCTTTCCCAGGAAAAGAGCAGGACCAGTGATGGCTGCCCTAGCCACACACAGAGTGGTGGCTGAGCTTCCATGCTGCTCCCCCTCGCCTCCTCCCATGGGTGTGCGTGTGAACTGTGCATAGAGACACACAGTGGAAAACCAAAGTGTGTTCATATTTGTCTCTTTTCTTTTCCTCCTTCATGTCTAGATGGCAGATGGACACTGAGTGGGGAGGATGCACTGCTGCTGGGGCAGGTGTTCTGGCAGCTTCTCAGGTGCCCACACAGAGGCTCAGTGTGACTTCTGTCCAGGGAGCATGTGGGCCTGCAACTTTCTCCATTCCCAGCTGGGCCCCCTTCCTGGATTCAAGATGGCAGCTATCCCTGTGAAGTCCCCCAAAAGGAGAAAACTCAGGAATTCTGAGTCTTCCCTGCTACAGGACCAGTTCTGTGCGATGAACTTGAGACTCCTGATGTACAGTGTGATATTGACCAAAGGTTACAGATCTGTGAATCTCGGCTGGGACTTCCTCTGAGTGATGCCTGAGGGTCAGCTCCTCCAGACATTGACTGCAAGAGAATCTCTGCAACCTCCTATATAAGCATCTCTGTTAATTCATTCCGAATCCATTTTTTACAATATGCAGTGAGATAGGCTTAAGTTTGGGCTAGAGTTTGACTTTATGAAGGAGGTCATTGAAATAGAGAACAATGATGTAGGCAAACGTTTCAAGCACTTTAGAAACAGTACTTTTCCTACAATTAGTTGATATACTAATGAGAAACTATACTAGCTTGGCCATGCCAATAAGTTTCTTGCTGTGTCTGTTAGGCAGCATTGCTTTGATGCAATTCTTATTGTCCTATATATTCAAAAGTAATGTCTACATTCCAGTAAAAATATCCTGTAATTAAGATTGTTCTTCCCTTGGTTAATTTTTTGTTACTAAGCATCTTCTAAAAATACTCTTTGCTCCCTGTTAGAAACTGAGATTTGGCCTACTCTGAATACGCTGAGTCGACAGATGGAGTCTATTTGATTTTACTTTTAAATCCTGAATTGACATTCTTTCCTTTTTTTTTTTTTTGAGATGGGCTCTCACTCTGTGGCCCAGGCTGGAGTGAAGTGGCGCGATCTTGGCTTACTGCAACCTCTGCCTCTCGGGTTCAAGCTATTCTCCTGCCTCAGCCTCCCAAGTAGCTGGGATTAAAGGGCCCCCTCCACCATGCCTAGCTAATTTTTGTATTTTTAGTAGAGACAGAGTTTCACCATGTTGGCCAGGGTGGTTTCAAACTCCCGATCTCAGTTGATTCGCGCACCTTGGCCTCCCAAAGTGCTGAGATTACAGGTGTGAGTCACACGCCCGGCCCTAACAAACAACTTAACTCCAAGACTCAGTAAGAAACGAATAGGGAAGGAAAGACAGAGGTTTCCGGCATCGCTCCTTCTCCCTTGCTTGCTAGGCCTAGAGAAGAAAAACCACGGAGGAGGGGAGAGGGACATGGTGATACTGCACAGCCTCAAGACGCAGTTCTTAGCAAAAGGGGACACCCTTTTGCAGTGGGCTGGTGTGTTCACCGGCTTGCTGGGTGTCAGTGAGGGATGTCTCTGAGTGCCTTGGGCTTATGGGCAGATGAAGAGACAAGAGGAACAAGTAGAAATTGCCCATGTAGCTGCTCCACCCTAGGGAGTCCAGAGTGTATCTACTCTACTGGGGAGAATTAGAGAGAGGGGAGTAATATCCTGACACTCGGGTGTTCAATTCCAGCTGTCAGCCCTGGCCCCTGCCAGTATTAGGAATGATTCTCCTGTCCTCTGGGGTACTGCCCTCCGACGACAACTTAGGATCAACATTTAAAACCCTTTCTGCTCTCACCTTAGGTAAATTATAGACCAGAACAGGTCTATAATGGGGACAGGTCCCCACCCTAACCCCCAGAGACCGTTTCTCTCAATAGGTGAATAACAAATAGCTCTCAAGTTTTAATTTTTATGTGCAATAATGCAAACATACTGTTTTTATAGCTCCTGAATAAATTGGGTGTCAATACAAATTATTGTGGTTAGTGTAGGGCAGAGCCTCTGATGAGTAAGGATCTTTCCTCAAAGCCCATCTTTGTCCAAAGACAGAATCTGAGCCTTCCCTTGATTTATTTTATTTTTTGCCAGTTTTGTAAATGCTGTATTCTTCCATACCACCCCCTTCCCTAATTTCCAGCTCCAGAATTAACTGCCAAAGATACAGTTGTCTGCATGGAATGTAGCATAATTGTCATAGAAAGGAAGAAACCCCCCTTGCTTAGTATTAAAAGTTTCTGGTTAAAATAACTGACCAAATATTAAGTAAAACATCATCTTCTGGGTACAATGCAGAAAAGTAAAAGCAGTTCATATAAGATTACTAAACTTTGGGAGACTTTCAAGACCAGCCCTGGCAACATAGCGAGACCCCATCTCTGCAAAAAAAGTTTTAAAAATTAGCCGGGCATGGTAGTGTGCACCTGTAATCCCAGCTACTCAGGAGGCCGAGGCAGGAGGATCGCATGAGCCCAGGAGTTTGAGGTTGCAGTGAGCCATGGTCACACCACTGCACTCCAGCCTGCGTGATAGAGTGAGATCCAAAAATATTTACTAAAATAGCAAAAATGTGGACTTTGGGATTTCCTCTAACTGCTGCAAATTATAACACAGAATTTCTCAGTGTTGATACTTCAATTGTGGGACCAAGTCTTCTGGCTGCCCTACTTCTCTTTTCTGGCATTTGAAAGCCCTTGAGCTAGCTGTGGAACTAATCTTTGGACAGCCTTTTTGGTTCCCAGGAATGTCGGGCCTTTGAATTTCCAAACTACATATATATATACAGTATGTGTGTATGTATACCTGTCTTTTCACTGTAAGGCACCTGCCCCCATCCCTTCTAGAAGGAGCCACAAACAACTGAGCAAATGGATGGAGGTTGATTAAGGGGAAGAGAAAATAGTCTGTTCTCTGACTCAAGACCTGAAGTTGCAGTGGGGCACGTAAGGTAAGACCAGAGCGGAAGTGATTATCTTGAAATTCCACTTTAGCTTGGAATAAAGTTAATATTTAAAGTGATTTTAAAGGAAATAAAAAAGAACCTTCAGTGCTTCCTTTTCATTGCTAATCTCACATTCTGATTTTCTAAACCTTCTGTTTTCCCATTCTGTTCTTCTAAGAGGAACTCAATGGTCTCACAGAAGTCAATCAAATAGCGTTGTAAGAACGTTTTACCTACCACATCCTTTGTTGGTTAGACTGAACCAACAAAGCAGTGCCTGCTTCTGGGGAGGGAGGGTATGGCCTTTTCTGTGCCCCAGTTTGTGGGAGGGTGAGCCAATGAAGCAAGCCAATTTAAAAGGCAATGTGTGCTCTTGTTTCAGAGAGAGTGAATCCTTTCGGTGGCGGGGGTGGAGTGTGTGTGTGGCGGGTGGGGGATGGGGCATGCACATCTAGATCCACACTTTTTGGGCTCAACTCAGGGTTACCAAAATAGAGTCAAACTCAACTCAGGATTACCCAAATGGAGTCAAATTGTGTGTGTGGTTTTGTAACATGATTCTTTCACTCATCGACATTTCCTGGCCACATTTTTCATGTCACTCATGACTGCATTATAAGTTTGTACCATACTTCATTTAACTAATATGCCGTTGTGCATTTAGAATATTTTCAGATGTTTATTGTCCTTATAAAAGTCTGTATGAAAGTATGCAACTATCACTTAGGCCACATTCCTGGAAGTAAACGGAATGGAAACTATGTACGTTTTACAGTGCAGATTGCTGGAAGAGTTTTACACAAAAATTTATACTCTCACCAGCAGAAAGCCTCAATGCCACTGAGTGCTGTTGTAATGTTAATCTTGATTAATCTGGTATGTGAAGAAGGATGTTTCAATCTTTTGCCTGCATCTCTCTGATTATTTTTGCTTGTTGATTGGCCAATTGTAATTCTGTCTTTGTGAGTTGTCTTTTTCTCAGTACTCGGTTTATTTGTCTTTGATTGATTTGAAAAAGCTCTTTATATTGTAGTAATTTTAATTCCTGTCATGTATTTTGTAAACAATTTTTCTAGTTTATAATTTCTAAAATGATGACCGTTTTTTTTTAACCTTGTTTGTATTATATTTTGCCACACAAAAATTTTAAATTTGTGTAGTCAAATTTATCAGTCTTTTCCCTTATATTGGACCTTCTAATCTCAAGGCACTAAATATAATCTAGCATTTTTAAAAAACATTAAAAAATTTTAGTCCATCTAAAATTTATTTTAGGGGCCGGGCGCGGTGGCTCAAGCCTGTAATCCCAGCACTTTGGGAGGCCGAGATGGGCGGATCACGAGGTCAGGAGATCGAGAGACGATCCCGGCTAACATGGTGAAACCCTGTCTCTACTAAAAAATACAAAAAAATAGCCGGGCGAGGTGGCGGGCGCCTGTAGTCCCAGCTACTCGGGAGGCTGAGGCAGGAGAATGGCGTAAACCCGGGAGGCGGAGCTTGCAGTGAGCTAAGATCCGGCCACTGCACTCCAGCCTGGGTGACAGAACAAGACTCCGTCTCAAAAAAAAAAAAAAAAAAAAAAAATTTATTTTAGGGTAGGGAGTGAGGCTGGGGAAGGTATCTTTTTAAATAAAAATTGTTGCTAAATGGTTGGCTAGTTGTCCTATTAATAGTCATTGGGACCAGGAGCAGTGGCTCACGCCTGTAATCCCAGCACTTTGGGAGGCTGAGGTGGGAGGATCACTTGAGGTCAGGAGTTTGAGACTAGCCTGGGCAACACGGCAACACCCCATCTTTACAAAAAATAAGAATTAGCAGGGGCTGGTGCAGTGGGTCATGCCTGTAATCTTTGGGAGGCCAAGGCGGGTGGATCACTTGAGGCCAGGTGTTCAAGACCAGCCTGGCCAACATGGTGAAACCCTATCTTTACTAAAAATACAAAAATTAGCCAGGCGTGGTGGTGTGCACTCGTAGTCCTAGCTACTTGGGAGGCCAAAGCAGGAGGATCCCTTGAACAGGGAAGGGTGAGGCTGCAGTGAGACGTGGTCATACCACTGCACTCCGGCTGGGTGAGACCCTGTTTCCAAAAAAAAAAAAAAAAAATTGACTGTTTTTTTCCATTAGTGATTTGAAATCATATACTGAATCATGTACTAAAGTCTATTTCTGAACTTCCTCTTTTGTTCCACTGATCTATTTCTGTGCCAATACCACCTACTGTAACTTTAAAATAGGTTTTTGTTTATACTAAGTAAGAATAAGTTACCATTATTTTTCTGTTTTTTTTTGTTTGTTTGTTTGAGACAAGGTCTCACTCTGTCACTCTGTTGCTCAGGCTAGAGTGCAGTGGCACGATCTCAGCTCACTGTAACCTCTGCCTCTCTGCTTCAAGCGATTCTCCCACCTCATCCTCCCGAGTAACTGGGAACTACAGATGTGTGCCACCATACCCAGCTAATCTTTGTATTTTTAGTAGAGAGGGGTGTTTCACCATGTTGGCCAGGCTGGTCTCAAACTCGTGACCTCAAGTGATCCACCCGCCCCCGCCTCCCAAAGTGCTGGGATTACTGGCGTGAGCCACTGAGGCTGGCCTGAGTATTCTAGTTTGTAACTTACAAGGTCATTTTTATGTATATGTTGTTGTGCTTGTCTAGCTATTTTATATTTTGTTTTTCTGAACTCTTGGCCTCTATCTCAGCTCCAGCCCCTGAAAGCACAGGAGTGCTTTTGCTCTGCCAGTCTGCCTTTTTTGGGAAATCACACCAAGATGGCTTCTCCAGCACAATTACTTCCTAGAGTGTCTGCTTGACCCATGGAAACTCACAGATTTTTGGCATGCCAAACAGAGGATTATCCTGCCGTCACTGCTGGCTCCAGCCACAGACTTCAGTTTTCTTACCTGTTAGAGCCTTTGTCCTCTGACTGGTGGAAATGGAACTTACTTCTTTTTGTTTTGCCCTGCCACTAGGCTGGCAGCCTCCACTTCTTGACCCTTGGGTTTCTTATTCTTGGAATCAGATATGAGGCCCTGTGTCTTCTGTTGCTGTAGAGAACACAAGTCATATTCTCTGAGTGGAGATCTTTTTGAAGCTCCTTTTTCCAGGCTTGTACTGAGGGGCCTCCAGACCCTCTACTACGTGGTGTCAAAGCTGCCAAGAGCCGTCACATGCAGGGTCTGTAAATTGACTTTCTTGCCTTTGACCAGATGCATTCACGTGAGCAGCACAGAGATTGGGGGAGTGAAAGGGCACTGTTTCTTTGGGTCCATGGGCGTGCATCCCATCCCCTAGCCTTGGGGTTAGCAGGATTCAGAATTTATGAGCTTCGTCTGCAAAAGTCTACCTCTGCCAGATGGGGGAGAACCTAGCGTGTGGACCTGAAGGGTTAGCTCCGTGCTTTAGTCCCTGGGAGCAGCCATCTTGAGTCTTGGCGAGCTTGGCAAGTAAGGAGACATTGACCAGACTCAAAGCTTCCAGAGGTGGTGAGAACTCCAGGGACCAGTAATGGAGAGCACAAAGGTCCTTTTTAGCCCCCATGACCCTTCCAAGCCAAGAACTTGGCAGTAGCTGTGAGTAGCAGAGATAGGCAGAGGAGGTGAGGGGCACCTATAGCTCTTAGCCATGAGTTATGACTCCCTCCATCCAAGGGAGACCCAAGAACGTGAAAGGGGGCTCAGTTCCAAGGATCAGAGGGAACTTGGGTTGTTTTGGGATAATGACTGTGGCTTGGGGTGTCACGGAGATGAACACCAGAATTGGTGTGCAACAGATAAGCTCCAGTACCCTTGATGGTTTGCATGGGTTTTACTCTGCTGATGATGGTCAGGGACAGTAGTGAGGCCTTCTACAATGCTGCCTTCTGCCTAAACACAGGCGGCTCCCACAAAAGGGGGGCTGTCGTTATGGAGCCTAGGAATGGATAGTCAGAGAGCAGCGGCTGGGCAGTGCAACTCCTGCATTGGACAAGGTCCTGGCTAGAGAATGTCAGTGTCCACACTGCATGTAGCCCTATGGAGGAGACGATGTAGGGGGCTGTCAGCCTTGAAGACTCTAGCCTAAGTACTCCACCACCACCCTGGCTGGGCTCCAAGGGCACAAATCAGCTTTTTGAATCTGACTTGGCTTCCTGTGATCTGCATTCATGAATATTCTTACTAGAGTTCTCATGGAAAATGAATACACAACCATTCGGTCTGAATGTCAGTCTGAGTTTGGTGCCTCCAAAACAATTCTCTGGATTAGATGGAGAATGAAGAAACTTCACAAAGGCAAAAGGACAGGTCCCCATCCTGATCCCCAGAGACTGCTTCTCAGAGTCTCCATCTGTTCATCCCTGGTGTTAGCCACGGTCCTTTACTCTCCCTCATTTCTGTAGCCGCTCCTGTGGCTTCCTCTCTTTCAACCTGCAGGCTGCTGCTGCCCTGCCTCAGACCCTTGTAGGCTTCTGTAGAGATGCTACTCAGATGGGGGTGGAGCTAGATGCGAGCTGAAACCTACCTAGGAGATCTAGCTTGGAGAGCTTGTGAATCTTAGGAGCGCCAGGCATGGAATGACTAAAACTTGTCACTGCATGAGATAAAAGAAATGAAAAGCCACTTCTGGAGGGAATGAGGCGGCCTGCCTTTATTGGAGAGATACATATTGTTGAACAGCTCTGGGCAGTTGATTGTGTGCCCGGGAGAGCTAACCATGTTTACTCTACACTCGACCTGTGATGGTCTGTATTGATTGTATCACACGCTTAGCTTTCTAAGGCTAACGGGGTCATTATCCTCAGTGCCTGCCTGCAGCTAGGTTGCCAACTGGCCCTTGATTTCCCACCCAACTCGTTCAGTTTGCCCTCAATCCTGGGGCTTCACTAATTTCCCAAAAAATATGGTTGGTAACACCTGTAGTTTGCTGTTGCATGTTACCTGACTTTTGGGAAACTCAAATAAACACTTTTCAAACGCATTGACCAGTTTTACTCTATGACTTTTACTTTGCATAATCACTATCTTGGTCACCCATCATGCTGCTTTCTGGTAAGCTGAAAGGAAAATAAATGGTCTAAACTGAGCAACAAGAAAGCAAACTTCTTTTAAGCAGGTACTTTCCAAGTGAAATGAGAACGGGAGATTGGGTTCAAAAGAAAGGATGCCGAGCTAGATTGAACTTTCAAGTGTTTTCCAACTGGAAAACTCCAACGTTCTCTGATCTCAGAGAATTTCCAATCTAATTTCAAGGAAGTCCCTCAGGAGCCCCTTTGCAAGGGTGGTTATAGAGCCATTTACGTCTGCTTTAATAAAACTAATGCTTATAAAGAAAGAAAACTTAATTTTCAGTCATCCGTAACACAAAAAAGTGAGGTTTGATGCACAGTAAAAGGAATCATTATTTAAGTTAGTCTGAGTTATACTGTATTTTGGAAATGTTCCACATTCAATATTTATGCCATGTACTCTAAAACCAAAGTGTGTAGATTATAAAAAATTATTTCCAGAAATAAGCTTGCTGAATCACCACAGTCTTAATCTATTTATTTTCACTACCAGGTTCCTGAATGTTTTTGTCTAATTGGCCTATTTTCAGTTGCCCTGGGTCCACCCTTGAGCCCCTCTTTGAGCCTGTCACTTAGAGAAGTACAAGAACCTCCTGCTAAGAATAAAGCCTTGATTGCAATTTCAGTGAATTATCAGGAAAGTGTGAGAATAAATGTCTAAACATTTGGGAAAATCTTGTTTGCAATAAATATGGTTAACAAAAAGTGAATAGGCTTACTACATAAAATTGTTACTCATCAATTAAAAAAAACTATACGATCCTCCTCCATGGGGAAAAATGATCAGATATTTCAAGTCCGCTGATATTTTTCTCTGGAAGTCAGACCTGTATACTTTGTCCTGCTTTATTGGAGTATAACTGACAAATAAAACATTTATGTATTTAAGGCATACAATATGATGATATGATACACCTATACACTGTGACATGATTACCTCAATCAAGCTAATTAACACATCCATCACCTCACCTTTTTTGTGTGTGGTTGAGAACACTTAGATTTACTCCTATAACCCATTTCACGTATACATTATTAACTCTAGTCACCATGCTGCACATTAGATCTCTGGAACTTATTCATCTTATAACTGAAAGTTTGCACTCTTTGACCAACATTCCCCATTCCTCCCCAACCCCTAACTCTGGTAACCACCCTTTCACTCTCTGTTTCTGTGAGTTCACCTGTTTTGGTTCCACCTACAAGTGAGATCATGCAGTATTTACCTTTGCCTTTCTGTGTCTGGCTTATTCACTATTCACTCAGCATTATGTCCTCTGGGTTCATGCATGTTATTGCAAATGACGGGGATTTCCTCCTCCTCCTCCTCTTCTTCTTTCTTCTCCCTCCTCCCCCTCCTTCTCCTTCTTCTTCCCCTTCTTCTTCCCCTTCTTCCCCTTCTTTCTGTTTTTGTTTTGTTTTTGTTTTTGAGATAAGGCTGGTCTTGAACTCCTGGGCTCAAGCAATCCTCCTGCCTCAGCGTACCGAGTAGCTGGCCTGGTTCTACATGCGTGCACCACCATGCCTAGCCTCCTTCATTTTTGCCTGAATGATATTCGTGTGTGTGTGTGTGTGTGAATATTTTCTTCATCCATTCATTTGTCTATGAGCACTCAGGTTGATTCCATGTCTTGGCTATTGTGAACAACTCTGTAATACCTATGGGGGTACACATAACCTCTTCCACATACGGATTTTATTTCTTTTGGATATATACCCAGAAGTGGGGTTGTTGGATCATACAGTAGTTCTATTTTTAATTTTTTGAGGAACTGCCATACTGTTTTCCATAGTGGCTGTACCCATTTACATTCCCACCAACAGTGTGCAAGGGTTTCATTTCTCCATATCTTCACCAACACTTGTTATCTTTTGACTTTTTGATAATAGCCATTCTAACAGACGTGAAGTGAAGCTCACTGTGGTTTTGATTTGCGTTTCCCTGATGATTAGTGATGTCATACACCTTTTCATATACCTGTTGGTCACATATATATCTTCTTTGAAAAAAATCTATTCAGGTTCTTTGCCCATTTTTTAAAAATCAAGTTACTTGCTTTTTCTTTGCTGTTGAGTTTTATTAGTTCCTCATGTATAATATTTTGGATATTAACTTTTTATTGATATATCGTTTATAAATATTTTTTTCCCATTCTATAGATTGCTTTTTTATTTTGTTGATTGTTTCCTTTGCTCTGCAGAAAATTTTAGTTTGATATAATTCCATTTGTCTTTTTTTGCTTTTGCTGCCTGGGCTTCTGGTATCATACCTGTATTTTTGTTTTTGTTTTTGTACCAGAGAAAGTGAAGCAACAAATGAAGAACATGAGAACACTGGAGTAGAAAGCTGGGTAGGCATCAGACAGCTGACCAAAAGTTTCACTCTCAAAATGGCCGGTGTGATTTTTTTTTTTAATCCTAGTTCACACAACATCTTCAACCTTTTCTTTTTTTTGAGACTGAGTCTTGCTCTGTCGCCCAGGCTGGAGTGCAATGGTGTGATCTCGGCTCACCACAACCTCCACCTCCCAGGTTCAAGCGATTCTCCTGCCTCAGTTTAACCTTCATTTCACAATACCCAGCAACACCTTACCCAGCTCCTTCAGTGATGGAGTTTTTATACTACACAGTGGTTCAGAGTGACAAGCATAACAACAGAGTGAATAAGTACAAGAGGCCCGCAAGGGCCCCACAGGTGGAGTCTGAGCTGTCCTAGAAGGGTTAGTAGGGTTTTTTTTCAGGCAGAGATGACTAGGAGGGAAATTCCAGGAATGGGGTGTGTGTGTGTGTGTGTGTGTGTGTGTGTGTGTGTGTGTGAATGTAAACAAAGGCATGAAATTGCACAAAGAACAACATTAAAGATTGAAATAGAGTGACTAGAGGGGAAAGTTCTAATGAAAAGGAGACGTTACCAAAGTAAAAATACAGAAAAAACAGTGCATTGGATTGGCTGAGTGTTGCGGGGGTGCCGGGAAGTGGGTAAAGGAAGGGGACAATTTGCTTATTAAGTGTTTCAAAACAACATTTAAAAAGACATCTTCTAGGCAAATTGTGACGCTAATGAGACTTCCCCAGAACATCTAGATATTCAACTGAATTATAGTTGTCCTTCTATGCATTTGAAAAACTAAATGCATATTCCAGTGACACTATTAGTGTTAACATTTTTTTTTTCAGAAGTTACCTTTGAGAATTGCCTTCAGAGTGTTTATGAGCTGCAAAAGAACATCAATTAGTCTTATTACTTTACAGTTTTCTCTGTCTCTGTCTCTCTATGAAGGGTAAAAATATTATATGTGCATATAAAATATGTATCATTAAAACTTAGCCAGTTGGACTTTTGTTTTTCTATTTTTAATTTTAACTTTTGTGGGTATATGGTGTACGTAGTCATGGAATGCATGAGGTGTTTTGATACAGATATGCAATGTGTGATAATCACAACACGGAGAATGGGGTATCTATCCCCTCAAGCATTTATACTTTGTATTATAAACAATCCAATTATACTCTTAGTTATTTTTAAATGTACAATTCAATTATGATGAACTATAGTCACCCTGTTGTGCTATCAAATACTAGGTCTTATTCGTATTTCTATATTTTTTGTATCCATTAACCATTCCCACCCCTCTCCCCTTCACCACCCTTTCCAGACAGTTGGACATTTCCTTTATACACTGAAGCATGTGGTGAATGACTTTTAACCATTTCTGAAAATCAAACACAATGTCAAAAGATTACACTTGTGGACTCAGAATACCAAAAATATGTGTTTCCAGCCCTGATGGCAATCTTCAAAGAGGGATTGCAGGCATACCTGGAGTAGCCACAGCACTGTTGTCAGCACTGAGCCCACACAGGTGACTGTTGACACAGAGACCGTATTCCATGTATATCTATGTTCTGAGAATATATATTTTTTTGTTATTGTGGTTGGAAAAGCTGTTATATGACAGTTTATGGCTCACAGTGGTGTCTGGCTGGTAGCCTTCCATGCGATGACTCATAAGAACCTCTCCTTCAGTCACCCTTGAAGACCCAACAAAGCTGGGGAAACCAGGGGAATTTCCTAATACTATCGACAATGAAGATGGACAGGCTAATGGCAGAACCTCAGAAGGATCTGACTTCGGATATGCACGCAGCGTACCTTGGCTTCGTTTAACAAAAACAGCACCCTTTTGCAAAGGGAGGAAGGGACTTTCCCATGACCTGAAGCAGAAAATAGGCAGCCATTTGACTCTATGCACTGATTCCACCTTGGGGAGCAGGTAGAACATGTCCCCTTCGTGACCACGTTCACTGGCATTATTCTGGATCCAGATAGAACGCAAAGCTTAGAAACAGCTAAGTGGTACACAGAGGGGGTACCGGTACAGATCATACCACGCAGGCAGGTACGACCTCACAATAAACTGCCCAAGATATGTGTTGTATATGTGTTGTGTGTATTTGAGTTGAGTGCATTGGGTGCATGTTTGTGTATACATGTGTGTGTGTTTGTGTATACATGTGGTGTGTATGTGATGTGTGTGTGAGAGCTGAGTGCATTGTGTCTATGTGTGTACACTTGTGTGTGTTGTGTGTTTGTGTGTGTGGTGTGTGTGAAGGACGCTGGGAGGATCCTGGTAAGAGTGAGTAATAGCAACTGCCATTGGTCATACCGCCTTCCTTCAACTTCAGAGTATTGGGAGAGTAGTTCAGTAGAGGCAGGAGAAAACATTTCCTCAAGAGGGATGATTTATTCTAAATAACTACACAACTCTTTTTATGTTAGGGAAGCCACAAGCTGCTTGTCATCTATATTGCACATATTTCTCTATATTTGCTCTTGGTCTTGCAACTTTATTTATAAAACTTTGGCTTGTTTTTGCCATGGGAAAGTTTTCATTGTTACTTAGTCCAGGTTACTGATCTTTTGTTTGTGATTACCGAATTTCATGATGTGCTCAGAAAGACTTTCCACCCAAGATTTAAAAATATTTATCTATTTTTTTCCTAGCTCTCGTGCAATTTTAGTTGTACTTTAAAACATTTGTTGCATTTGGAATGTATTTGGTGTAATGAATGAAACAAGAACCCACATTGTATTTAAAACATTTCACACCAATCTGTATTTTTTCTTCATTCCATTCATCATAATAGCACAATTATTTATGTGATTATCTTTACCCAATCACCACTGAGATGCCACCTTTGTATCATGCAATTTAAATATTATTACAAATGCTGCTGGGCCGGGCACAGTGGCTCACGCCTGTAATCCCAGCACTTTGGGAGGCTGAAGCGGGCGGATCACGAGGTCAGGAGATCGAGACCATCCTGGCTAACGCAGTGAAACCCCGTTTCTACCAAAAAGACAAAAAATTAGCCGGGTGTGGTGGCGGGTGCCTATAGTCCCAGCTACTCAAAAAGACAAAAAATTAGCCGGACGTGGTGGTGGGTGCCTGTAGTCCCAGCTACTCAGGAGGCTGACGCAAGAGAATGGCATGAACGCAGGAGGCGGAGCTTGCAGTGAGCTGAGAATGCGCCACTGCACTCCAGCCTGGGGAACAGAGCGAGACTCTGTCTCAAAAAAAAAAAAAAAAAAAAAAAAGGCTCCCTTCCACAATATCATGTTAGAATTTTGAGCAGAATGATGATGATTTTCCAGATTATTTTGGAAGAATTTATATTTTACACCATACTAAATATTTCTGTTTCCTCACAGGGTATGCCTTTTCACTTAATCACATTTTTTTCTGTTTTTTTTCCCATATAATTCAAATTTATTTGTATGTATTTTATACTTTCACAAATGGATTTATTTTGGATTATGTTTTAATGTATTATAAGATGTTTGATTTTTGAATATTAACATTACATCCTGAAAACTTTCCGAGCTCTCTT